CATGTATTTGCTAGCCAAAGATGAATGCAAAAACATCAAGAGTAAATTTAATCCTACATGTCAGTGCCCTGCACTCTCATGCAGTTTCATCTTACGTACCCATACATGTTCATGTACCTATATGTACTCAGGTGTAGAGTTTGGGAGAGTAACCTCCGGCTTCCTGGCTTCAGGCTTCAGTCATGGATGGGGAGAACTTTGACTGGAAACCTCCTAGCGAGGCAGAGATGAAGGTGCTTCAAGCCAGGCGAGAGCGCTCGGACAAGATCAGCAAGCTGATGGGTGACTACCTCCTGAAGGGGTACAGGATGTTAGGGTCTTGCTGTGGAGTATGTGGGGTAAGAAACCAGGATTGGGAACGATATGAAAAAGCCTTTGGCGAGTTAAACTTGAACATGACAATGAACATTACAATTTGAATTTTCCAAACGAAAGACACTGTTGCTGTGTGTACCCGTGTGATTCGGGGAAAGCTTTTGCTCAGTTACGTTATTAAGAGACAATACACTGTTTTCAGTGAATAAGAAGTGCACAAAGGAACCAGTCCATTCCAGAGACGGTGGTCTGTGCAAAAGCTTGCCCCGAGTCACAAGACATAGCAGCAGTGCCTTTAGTCTGGGGAATTCAAATTGTTATTTTGTGTGTGCAATCAGATAACTCAGTGTACCAGATTTTATTCAAATTTAACTCGCAAAAGGCTTATTGGCATTTTAAATTTTTTAAGACTAGGTTTATTGAGACAAAAATCGCATGCTGGCTTGAGTTGGATTTGAACCAACAATTTTCTCTTGACTACATTGTAGTGCAGACACTTAAATCTTAACCACTTGATCACAGAGTTTGCCGGAAGTGGGTGGCTAGCTCAAATCTAGTCTAGTAGTGGTGCCACAAGTAGTCAGTGATATTTATTGATTAATGATAATTCATGTAATTGATTACCAAGTGGATCCTTTCCTTTCTGAGACAAAAAGGACAAGGTTCTTGTAGGGCAACAGCCAGGCAGCAGTGAATATTTAGATCCCATGCAAATGCACGTACACCACATGAATATGCTGTTGCAGATTCACAAGGTTAGTTGGGTGTTCCCTTTGCTAGGCTGTATGGACGAGCATGTGTAAGCAGTGTGCAGCTTAACCACTTGGTGTGGTTGTGCTAAAGGTTGCACACATGCAGAGATTTGTTGTTATACACTAAGTTAAAGCAAATCAAGGTATTCCTCCAAGGTTATCATGCCTTTGGCTGTGCTTCCTGCTTACGGTCTCCATGAAGTACATGTACATGTAGCCTCTGTTAACGTGACATCTTGTGCTAAGCAGCGCCATGAAATTGTGTCCAGGATGATAGACAGTGAAACATTACTTAAGGCTTACAGACATCTACATTTAGCCTGTGAATCTTTTGCTAAATGCTTATTTATTTTTGTACTGATTTTGGCTTTTTGGTACTGTGTAGTAATGATGTTGCATGATTCATCAAATTGAGTTTAATTATTTTGGGGGGTACCTACATTGCATACAAGTACAATGTAGTAGAGTTGTTAAATGTTTACAGCATGGTGCTGTGTGGATTGGTAAATTTTGTGCAACTTACATGTGTAATAAGGTTCTGTGCGGTAAATTACACTGCAGCGATTCATCGAGTTGAAGTGTAAAATTATACACGTCGTCTCAGTACTGGGTGGACTTCATATTCTGTAACAACTTATACATGTACATGTATCATGCATTTACATGAATAAATCCTTCGTGCACTTGTAAATTGTTTGCAAATTAACTTTATTCCTGTATGGATGTACATGTGTAAACATTTGGAAACTCAAAACTGCATGCTTGTATTTTGGAAGTGTGTGGACTTGTATAAATCTTTTGCATCGTACAATTATTTATTTTGATATTGAGAGAACTTTTTAATTCTTTGTAAGCACATTCAAATTAATTAATTTGATACTGAGTGGACTAGTAATTTTGTCCATCTTGTAAAATCAGTTCATTCCTCCACAACCTGTTACACTTTTGACTGAATAAAATATCCATTGGAGATACATTTATCACGATCAGCATCCCTCTGTAAAGTAATGCCCTATGTAAAATGGTCAACGTCCTGCTCTTAATGTCCCATGTTTAAGAATTTCTTTAATGAAGCTATGAGAGATGTTGCACATCAACCTTATCCACTCAGTTATCAACAACATCATGGTGCACACACTACCCGGCCTGATCCCAGTTCAGTTTACTTAAAATTTAGGCCCACTTTACTTGTGTATACATGTATTTTCACACAGGGATTGAGTTGACTTGGGAGCACATTAACCTGGGACCGAGTCAACATTAATGAGTTGATTTGAATTCACCTGGTTAGGGCAATCAATTTTTTTTTGGTCAGTTCATTGCCTTTTTTTTGTAGCAAGCAGAAAGATTAAATTAGAAGCTTTACTTGAGTACAACTGACTTGAAACTACCAGCTCTTAAGTTAAAATGAAGATATGTACATATAGTGTGCTTTTTTTAATACCATAAATCTGAATGGGGCACAGGAAGTTTGGAAAAAACTTTCTGATGTCTGTAGCCGTTGGCATGCATTACATTAGTGCATCACCGGGCAAGTTTTGCTTCATTAAAATGCCAAAGGAAATGAATTTTCTCCGATTTCCCTGTTCCATCCAGATTTCGTAAGTTTGAAATAGGAAGAGAAATAAAGTGAAAGGTGTCACCTTGTGGAAGAACTTGCGGCTAAAGAAGTGATGACTGTCAGTGGGGAAAACCCACTGAAAGTGGGTGCTGTTCATGGCACAAGAAATTAAGATGCTGACTTTTTTATTTTCCGTCAGTGAAGCATATACGTACGTTAGGGCTTTATATGTACATGTTTGCGCCTCGACAGTCCGTGTGTGCATAACCATAGACTTGAATGCTCGTTTATCACTTTTGGTTTCATTTATATTGTACATGTTCTTCAATTCTGGGTGGCTTGATAGAGTTGTTGTAAGCAACTTTCTATTAGAACCTTAATCTGTGCATAAACATCGCATTCGTCCTTCCGGCCCCGGCAAACAATAACATCCGGAAATTCCCCTTGTCACTGTCCAAGTCTGCATGCGGAGGCCGTTATATCTCAGACATGCATGTTACAAGTCAAGATTGTAACTTACATAGACAAATGCTTTTAAGAGTGTTCTTAAGGTACCATAGTTGGGGCCTTTCCATTTCAAACACTGGCTTTGAAACCTGTGAATTTTGAGTTTTTCACATACATGGATACTTGGCCTTTAACCAGTCAAGGTCAATATTAGAGCTGCAAGTATTGTTCTGTATACTTGATTAATTCCTATGTTGATTATTACATGTACATGTAGGTTAATGTTCTTTTCAGATAAAGAATACTTTGTTTTCAATTTCAGGAGTGGAAAAAATATTGATTGAAATATTGATTGTCTGAAATCGTAACATATATGTATGATTAAGCTTGTGAGGTTTTTTCGCAAGCTCTCGGACAAGCACTGAGCATGCAGTGCTTATTAATATACGTTGGGTAAGGGCAAAACCTGTTTTGTAATTAACATCTCCCCAATGCAAAAATTCATCTTGAAAACATTATTATTATTTTTCTGGTAATGACACCAAGGATTCCTCAAAAGCGCCCTAGGCACTGTAGCTCGCAAGCCTGAAGAAACCTGTAGAGAGGAGACAATGAGAAGCAGTTACAGTTGTAGAGCTGGGAGGAAAACATTCTGGGTAAAACCCACAGAATCAGGTAGGGACTAAAAACCCAATCCACATGAGGACCACGCTGGGATTCAAACCCGGGCCGCAGAGGTGGAAGGCGAGGAAAGAACCACTATGCCAACCTGACTCGCCAACCTGACATAAGCCAAAAAGCATGTAGCATTTTGTGCATAAAACTTTTGCACTTCCACGAAAAGGCACACGTGGATGACATAAATCCTAAGGTACATATATTTTCCCTTTGTTATTGTTCATTTATCTGGTCGTGAAAAAGGAAATGCAGAAAAAAATTGGATAAGCGATGAAGTGAAACCCTAATCCCAACCAGAAATGGTTAATGTATATAGAAACTGAAATATAAGCTAATGGGCTAAGCCACATTGGTGAAAGTAAGTAACAGATGTGATTTCAGCGGGATGTCTCAAAAGTTACTTCAAACAAACACAGACTAGTTTTTGACTAAAAAGATATCAATTTCTTAAACTGGCCAAAATAACCTATTTCGTAGGTATTCAAGTGCTGTTGTCTGCATGTATGTCAAAAAGTGGATGCGTACAAACTGCTTGGCAGATTCCCTCATGTGTCTTACAATCTAAATAAAAGTTCTTTAATCTCTTTTTTGGGGTATATTCTCCACTTTTGCACAATGATGCTAGCTAAAGATGCACACTTCCAATCCAAATCTGACCTCAGATAAAATCTTAGTTTTCAGATTGGATTGCGATTGGCTCAGTGGGATTTGAAGTGCTTTTGTGAGATGACAGATTGGATTGGACTGGATTGATCATCCTACCCGTTGCCTGACGAAATGAAAACAAAAGTGTCTATATTTTCTGGCTTCTTCAAGTACCTCTATTGCTTCCTTGTGAATAAGTGTTCAAGTGGTAATGTTTGTTCAGTGCCCAACATTTCCACTTTCCCCACACATGTCAACCAAACCCTTTCTTATGGAATGCCAAATGTACCAAAATATGATGTTACCCTGTAAAAGTAGTTTGATCGTGTCCTCAATCTATTATGTGATGTTGTCAGTTCATTATGTGAAGTTCTCAATCCATTATGGGAAGTTCTCAATCCGTTATATTAAGTTCTCAATCAGTTATGTGATTTTGTCAAACCATTATGTGAAGTTGTCAGTCCATTATGTGAAGTTGTCAAACCATTATGTGAGATTGTCAAACAATTTTATGAAGTTGTCAAACATTATGTGAAGTTGTCAGTGCAGTATGTGAAGTTGTCAATCCATTATGTGAAGTTGACAATCCATTATGTGAAGTTGACAATCCATTATGGGAAGTTCTCAGTCTATTATGTGTAGTTGTCGAACCATTATGTTAAGTTGAAAATATGGGGCTGCTTAACAGTTGGCAGAGAAGTCGTGCTACTTTAGCAGAAAAATTTGCTCACCTTAAGCATTATTTCATGGCGGTGCTTGGTGTGGTTGTGCACATGGTCGCGTGGGCATGGAGATTTCTATTGTTACGTCACTATTACAAAAGTTTAAGCAAAGTCTCCTTTAAAGTTAGCATGCCTTTAGCTGTGCTTACTGCTTACGGTCTCCATGGAATACATGTACGTGGAGCATCTGTAAGCATTAAATTGTGTGCTAAGCATGAATTTGGGCCCAGATCAGCGGAGCATGCCTAATGCTACTTGCAGATTGTGTGTGCCCTTTCAAAATTTCAAACACCTTCAAATGCTGCACACTGCCAAACACAGGCACATGTACTGGGTACAATCAGGTTGGGTGTGGCTCGTAGCTTGTAATGGTCTAAGACTGGACAACTTGTGGTGGACTTCACTTCATGGTTTGAAACTCATCAGAGATGCTGGTGATCATTATGACTGCAAGGGAGCTACACATAGGCAAAACCATGGAGGAAGGGAAAGAACACAGAGGAACTGGGACACTGCAAACTTTGGCTTTGCCCAAAACAGGCATTTCTCCTGTGGCTATGGCTTTTTTTCCTAGGGCTATGGCAATCTTTGGCCTTGTCAGAAGCAGGCATTGCCTCCTGTGGCTATGGGTTTGCTTCTTACGGCAACTGCAAACTTTGGCAATGCCAAAACAGGTAAAGTTTCCAAAGTTATGACATTGTTTCAAATGGCTATGGCAAACTTTAGCCATGTCTAAACAGGCGTTTCACATGGCTATAGCAGACTTTGGCTTTGTCAAAATCAGACATTGTTTCCTATGGCTATGGCTTTGCTTCATATGGCTATGGCAAACTTTGGCCTTGTCAAAATCAGACATTGTTCTCTGTGGCTGTCCTTTGTTCCCCTGGCTATGGCTACCCACTATAACACTTCAATGGCTAAACATCAGCCATAGCCAAACTTTACACAGCTGTATTTTGGCGTGGTAGTGTATTTGTGCAGTTTTTTATTTTGCAGACCATTCTGCTACGTGACCGGCAGCAGCAGGATTATTGCGTCTGCTGCAATGAGCTGGAGACAGACCTTGCCAAGGATGACCCAGGTAAGATAAGAATGAAGATGACTGTATGTCCATAGGGAATCTAGCTCCTAGAGGGGCCTGGAGGGCTAAATGGACAGGTTCCATGCATTGTAACTCAGGTCAGCTTCTGGATATATTCACTAACATACATGTGGGTATCTCAACCTTATTGTGGATTGCTGTTTTACTATTTTAAAGGATTTTGGTGCCTTTTTGACTTTATGTTAAGAGGATTTCAGTATTCATGTTACGTTGATCTATACACAGAACACTGCAGGACTTTTTGACATTTTATCATCCCAAATTGTAGTTTTGCTTTTGTGATTGATTTCTGTGTGATAATGAATGTAAGCCAACTAGCAACACTAGGTTCACAGTGTGAACAGAAAAGCCCTTGGGCTGAACAATGTCTTCCCTGCACAATATCACAGCTACTGGGCCCGCAGTGGTTGTCCGTTTAAGGATGAAAACTGTCAATGCACTTTCAATACACTTAGCCCTAAGGGAATGTCAAATAGCATTCATACAGTGTAAAGTCACGCACGGACGCTTCAATCCTAACAGTCCTCAATCCTCCAATTTCAGCATGATTTTACATACGCTCGAGGGTTTAGGGCTAACCACAGACCCTCTTGAGATGAATGGGTCTGTATCCACTTTTGGGTTTCAATATACAATAAATGAAGTAAGGATTCCTTGAGAAACTGGGTTGAACTTTGAACTGTGTCAATAAGATATGGCAGTGATGCATGTGTCAAGTTTGTGCACAGGGCATATGATCAAACCTAAACCTACCTGACAACAAGCACAGTGTGTAATGTAAATTATGCACCAAACTGCACATCTGTGTACATGTATATGCATGGCTGAAATAAGAAAGAATATGTCGGAACCAGTGTTGGGCATGGTGGGTGTGTTCCCACCAGCATTGGCATCTCTAATTCACAGACCCATAGGAAAAATTTCTATCTATTTCTCCTTTTTTTCACCTAGCTGTGAGTGCTAAAGCTGCAAGGTCTCAGGTTGAGGAACATGAACAGAGTGCCTCAGCCGTGACTCAGAATGGCCCATCCACCAAGACAGTAGTCAGTGGCAACGGTCAGAGCTCTGGCATCACTCCACCGGGCAAGCGCACCCGTCAGACAGTATCGGCCCACCGGCAGTCGCACACCCACAAGTCTACAGGGGGATCAGAGCACGCTCACTCGTATCAAAACGAGACGCACATAGGTAGGCCAGCCTGCCCCCTTCATCTGAAGGAACACCACCACCACCACCTTTCCCCCGAGACGATGCTAGATTTACCGGCCGGTTCGCAGGACATCGTGCCCGAGTCCATGGCAGTCGTGATGAGTAAGATGTACTGGGCCACCCATGAGCTGAAAGGCACTGCATCCGTAGAAGGGAGTACGCAGCTCTGCTTGTTGGTTAAGGCCTGTGCCGATGCCATAACATCGCTTAGGTACCTAGTACCTGGAGAACTAACTGACTGAACTTGAAACTTGTATGAAGGCTGTACATATACATTTACACAAGAAGCCAAAGCAGGCCAGAATGGTATCAAACTGCTCAAATTGACACCTTGCTGTCCCTAGATGCCTCCATTCTGAACAAAATGCATGTATGGGGTATGCACCATGCGCTTGAAAAATAAGCACCAACAAAGATGGTACTCATTCAGGTTTCGTTGTCCTGTTTTATGCTTTGTGTACTGCATAGTCATTTCATTGTTACCTGATATAGACTGTGCTATCCTATAACTTGCTTGTTGGTGGTTTGGTAACTTACCCCCCCCTTGGTAGGCAGTAAACCAAGTTATAAGTTCTATGTTAGTTTGTGTGAGTTTTTGGCAAGAACCGAGTTCTTTCTATGTCTTATTCTTCATAAAGAGCTCAGTACAAACAGACTGGATTTAAATGACCAAGGATCAACACATTCGTGCATATGGATGAGGGTCTTTAACTACCCAGAAGGCATTGAATTTCCTTCACAATATGGTATGACAGAGTTTAGGCATCACCACCTTTTGACAAGGTTCTGCATTGTGAGCACAAACAAACAGTGTTGTTGATGTAAACGTGTTGACTGTTGTGAAAGAATCGGTCAGCATTGTTCAGTAGCATTTGCGTTGAAAAGATCATCCTAACCCCTAAGATGGGGGAAAATGAAAACTGTAGAATCAAAGGACAATAAGATTTGAAGTACGACAGCGTGCTTGATTGCCAGATACTTATGACACTTAGGATGCATTGCAGTTCTGTTCAACAGCATGAAAGGAGCTGTCATTTTGAAAAAGAGGGAGTGCTTGCTTTGAAGCATTAATAGAAAAATATTTAATGCATCGTTACTTTCCAAAGGTATGATAAAAATAATTGTCACTTTGTAATTGTACACAAGAATAGAAACTTTCTTTTTTTATATTTGCAACTTTGGTTGCTGTTTGTTGTATTGAAAAAGATCCACAAGCTGCAAGTAATTAGTCCAACAAATAAATGCAATTCCCACCGAAGACGAGATGACAGAAATATATTCTGCACTCTCCGCAGTAGCTTGGTTTGTCTCCTAATGCCCCATCTACCAAAGCGAAGGGCCAATCTAACCGGTCTTACTTTTCCTGCCTGTCATATAAACGTCAAACGTGGTGTATAGGCATGGGCGTTGCCTGAGCTTTTTGAGGGGGGAGCATACCGCTCATCAGCTTCCAACTGAAACCTTATGAACAAAAAGGGCGGTCAGTTCTGAGTTAGTTTTAAGTAAATTGACAGGTTTCATCCCCTTTTCTCATTTTCCTGCGTTTGTCTCTCTTTGTCTTTTTTCCCCGTTTTTTATTGTTCCATTTATGTGTGTGTGTGTGGGGGGGTAAGCCCCTTTGTAGTGCCCATGTACGTAATTAGGTCTTAATATCCTCCAGAAGTCCGTTCACTTTGGACATCACAGGTTAAGGGTCAAGGTCTTTAAGGCAAAGTCAATAGAAAAAGTTTTCCCACCATAACTCGTTTGCTTGACATATCATCTTCAAACTTGTACCTGTATGTATGTGAGTTGGTTTAAGTGTCCTTTGGAAGCATATGGACGCCATGGGTCATAGGCTGAAGTCAGTTTAGTTGTAAAGTTTGTTTTTTTTTCCAATTTGGATCCTGCTGATTTATGAATTCGAATGTTGTGCTGTAGGATTAAAAATTAAAGTCATCGGTTTAGACCTTGGTTTGGCGGGAATTTCTGCGTGTCTGCTGATTGTTCTTACTCATAGATGAATGTTTTGAACCATAAATACATGTATATACATGTCAACCTTCCGGGCATACCGGATTTTTAAGGAAAAGTGCATGGCCTACTTAGTCTCTAACCAGTAACTTGACGGCACCGATCTTCAGGATTTCCAGTCGGCAATAGAGTTGGCGGTATGGTTTATCACTAGTAACTGTAATTTTCCTGAGATTTTTTAAAATTTATTCCCCGTTGAAAAAGCTCAGTGCTGTTGAAAATTCATTGCATTTGGCATTGAACATTCCTCCAGAATCTGCAAAGTCTAGGATGCTCTTTACAAAATCTTTCAAAGCACTGGCGTCTGAAGGGTACGTTCAAATAAACATGTACGTATATAATCTCTCAAAAACTATTTTTCATATGAAAAAAATGACCTTACGTTTAAAACAGATTTCCCGCTCAGGGGCTACGCTTGGGCTACCAGAATAGGAGAGATTTGGCGACCAAGCAGCAAGAGGCCAGGCGTCGTTTGGTTATTAAGGAAAGTAAATTGGATGAATGAAAATGACTAGGTACATTGCTTTTTGTCTATGAAATAAAAGAAAATTAAAATCTTTCCTTTTTCCGACGAAGATACAAAGAAAAGCTTGGGAACAATGCCCAGGAAATGCTTACATTACGAAGGAAAACGCTGGGTTTTGTTTACCGACCCTATCTTCTACCGCTGTTTATCTAACAAGTAAATGGAATCATCCCGGTTAAACTTCATGTGAGACCACCGTAAGTACATATCTCCACAAGTACGTGCACACGGTGCTCATATTTTCATGGAGCCAAACGGGACAGCGGTGGAGGTCGAAATCATTTTCAAAGTAGTCTTTGTCGTGTGGCAGACAATACGATTTACCCAACCATACAGAGCACAACTCGGCTGGTTGCAATTAAGTTGTTGCCGAGGTCATGGAGGATGCAATTTTTCCATGCTGAGATCAACTGGTGTAGGCTACACCTCTCATATTCTTCAAGAAGAAGTATGTTCACCCAAAGTTTAAATAACGCCCTGACTTGGTGTCAATGTTACATCGAAGTGTTTAATGTGCCTCGAGACTTTTAAATAGGGTCATAAGTACAGTGCTTACATGTATATAGTTGCAGTGTCGAAGTGTTCTGATAGTTGAGTGACTTTTTTAACAATTGTGGCTTTTTTTCTTTTGAATTAGCCTCTGCAGTAAAAAA